CCGTCTTCATGCGTGGTGCGAGCGACAAGACATCGAGGCTGCTGGTCTTCCGACCGATTGCAGGGGCTGTTCAAAGAGACGACCCGGAGCTGGTCGAGAAGCTTTTTTTCTTCTTCGGAGCTCGCTGTCGAACGCATCCTGATCGGCCCCTTGCCCATCTTCCACCAGAACCTCTTGGGCTGCGCGGCAGCTTTCGCGTCTGGGCCGAATGCCTCCAGCGAGCGTCGCCTTGCTGATCTGGACGGGCGCGCGTGGGCGCCCCCTTCCCAGGCTGCTCAGCGCGCGGGAATATCAGCGCGACGAGGCGGACCACCCGTCGGCGCGCTGATCTTTTGGCTCCTTTCAAGCGCGCTTTGACGCTCCGAGGCTTGCGACTTCCTGATCAGCGAGGCGAGGGGCAGATCGTGGGCGCTCAAGCAGATGCGACCTTCCTAGGCGCTCCCTGGCCACGCGTTGCCTGGGTGCCCATCCCGTTGTGATCGAGAGCTTGGAGGGCGTGCGTCTTCCCGACTGCCGTGACCTTCAGTGGACTGCTCGCGGGGCCCGTGCCTCTGCCCCTGGCCTAGACGGCCTGCCCTGCGACGCTTGGAGCTGCTGCGTTTCCCCGTTGCCGCTCGAGGGCCTTGCCGCGGCGGGCATAGATGTCGCGCAGGGCTTCCCGCCGCCGCCAGGCCTCAGCGATCGCTTGGTGGCCTTCTTTCCCAAGGTCGTGGCGAGCGATGACCTAGCCTCGGGCCCGAAGATTTCGCCTTCACCACCAGACCGCTGGCGCTCAAGAGCGCGGGCGGAAGCTCTTGGCGGCCTTCGCCAACCATCTCGTTCAGTTCTACATCGAGCGCCACTCTCCGCAGGCGCAGAGGGGGCTTCTCCCTAGGCGCAACTTCCTATGCAACAATACCTTTCTCGACAGCGCGGCGCGTCGGGTCGGCCTTTTTCCTTTGCCAGAGACTAAGGCCTTCATGGTCTTTTTCGACTTCGGCAATGCCTGCCCTTCTTCTTCTTCCTCTTCTTCTTCTTCTTCTTTCTTACTGGCTACGCTGCGGAGGGCATGATCCCCTGGCGTCTCTAACATCTGGTCATGGGTATGCGCTGGCTGCCACGTGCTTTCGTGGTCCTGGAGGGCGAGCTGCGCAGCTTCAGGATGATCGCGGCTGGCATCGTGCAGGCTTGCCCGCTTTCGGGGTCCTTGTGGACAGTGGCCGCGAATCCTTTCGTGGCCCGCGTGGGGGAGCTCCTGCAGGACTGGGGCACCTCCGAGGTGGGCGTCTGCGCGGGCGACGTCGGCGCGGTGCTGCAGGGCCGCAGGCTTCTCCTGCGCATCCACAGGTTTTTCGCCTATGCGCAGGCTCTGGCTGGCCTGGCCCTCGAGCTCGCCGAATGTCGCAACGTGGGAGGTCGGGCCCCTGCCTGCGGCATTCACCTTGGAGCTCGCAGCCAGCGCGAAGGCGTGACTGGCGGAAGCGCTGCCAGGCGGGGAGCAGATCGCCGCGGCCCCGTTTGCGAAGCTCCTGGGCTTCATCCTCGGGCCCGGCGCCCCCCTGGACGACGCGTGGCAAGGGGCTGGTGCGAAGTGGATTCATCGCATTCGTGAGCTGTCCCTCGATGGGTGCGCCGGTGCGCCTGTCCACCGCGCTCTGCAACGCTCGCGTGCTCACGGTCCTCAGCTACCTGATGCAGCTCGTGCGTTTCCCCGCCGCGCTGATCAATCGCGAGGCTTGGCCATGGCGCAAGATCTGGCGCATCCCTCCCCGGTCCTGCTCGCGTGGTGCCCTTTTGGGGGGTTGGGCAGTTGGTCGGCCTTGCGGCCCGCGAGCATGGTCGTCCTCAGCCTGGCCTTTCGGATGAGAACGGCTAGCGGCGCGGCGTGCAGCTGGTCGTCCCCGCCCGCGCCCCTGCGCGAGCGCGCGTTCGAGCGCGGGGGCCTCGCGGAAATTGGCAAGGGATGGTGGTCGCCAGCTCCCTGGCGCACTGGGCCGCCGGTGGTCCGCCTGAGCGAGGCCGAGCAGGCCAATTTCCCATCGACAGCTCACGCTGCTGACGCCCGCGCCGCCCTCGCAGCCCTCGGGGAAACCCCCTGGGCAGCTGCGCGCGCGTGTCCAAAGTTTCTTCTCGGCCTCGTTTCGCCTCTCCCGCTGCCCCGACGTCCCCAGCTCGCCCTTGCTCAGCGCGTGGCCACCTGGGAACTCCCGTTTTTCCCCAATCAGAGCTTGCCTCTGTAGGGGTCCTAGCGGATATAAAGCTGAGGTGAAGTGGGCGGCCGATTTCGGTGGCCGGGGCCGGGTGCCCGGGTGGCCGATTTCGGTGGCCGGGCCCGGGTGCCCGGGTGCCCAGGGGTGCCCGGGTGCCCGGGGGTGCCCAGGTGCCCGGGGGTGCCCAATAGCCCAATAGCCCAGTAGCCCTATAGCCCTATAGCCCTATAGCCGTATAGCCCTAGAGTCCTGTAGCCCTATAGCCTTATGTCCCTAGAGCCCTAATAGCCTTATATCCCTATAGCCCTATAGCCCCATAGCCCATATAGCTCTATAGCCCCATAGCCCTATAGCCCTATGGCCATATAGGTCACAGTCCTATAGCCCTATAGCCCGATAGCCCCATAGCCCTATAGCCCGATAGCCGTATAGCCCTATAGCCCAATAGCCCGATAGCCATATAGCCCTATAGCCCGAACAAAAATCTGATGTGGGTTTTTCTCCAGTATCATCGGGATCCTTTTTGAATTGCTCTCAGAGGCTTCATTCGGAATGGGGGCCCGCCTACCTGGTAAAGTGCTGTTCTCGGGGCGGTTGTAGGCAGTTGGCTCGCCAGTGCAAGGCTGCGCTGAACGGTGGTCGGCCCATGCAAGTTCAATTGGTCGCAGTGCCTTGGCGATATGTTGCGTTATGTCCATTGCCCAGTTTTGTGGGGGCTTGTGCATCACCCAGAGCTGCCTCCTGAATCCCCCACCTCGCGTCTCGGGCTCGATGGATCCCCCGCCCCCCAGATTGTCGAGAGAGCGGCTCGGGCTTTTCATTTGTATCATGATGTGCGTATTGCCCCTGGTCTTGGCCCGCTCGACGGTTAGAAGGCTCTCGGGGGGCATCGTTGCAATTTACGGCGTGCTGCCGTGGCCCTTGCGGAGCTATCTAGAGCTCCCGTCTAGGCCTGCCTGGCGGGGCCAATCTGGACACTTCTTGATGCGAGTGACATGCTTTCAACGGAGGTCCTGGCCCCGTGGCGCCAGAGCGGGGTGGGGCGCTTGCGCAGAGCGGCCCCCGCCCTTCCCGAGGGCTCCCCAGGCCCCCCAGGTGGCCCACGGAATTCCGAAACGGCCTTGGTGTGCCCGCGACCGGCCATGCCAGCTTCTAGAATTCTAGACTCCAGACTGCTCAGGACGCCCCTGGGAGGCGCCTCGAGAGCCCCAGGAGCGTTCCGAAACAGCCCGAAACGGTCTCCAAACGGCCACCACGCCGCCGAGACGCCCCAAGAGGCCCCATGTGAGAGTGCAGGTTTTCAAGGTTGAGCGCTGTCAAGGCCGCCGATTGTAACATTCCCCGCGAGGTCGGACACCACGCGGCCCTCCAGAGGAGCGCTGGCGGCGACGTGACACGCGGCCCCCCAAAGGACCAAACAGGCCCCCAAGAGGCCCCCAACACCCTCAAGAACCCCCAAGGATATTCAAATGAGGTCTAAAGCATGGCCGTTCCGCGGCTTCGTTGCGGGCCCGAGCCTGGCGAATCCCCCCTCATCAGATTCGTCGTCCTCCTGGATGCCTCCGTGCTCCGGGAAGGGCTGGGCACAACCTATGCTTACAACGTGTTTGGCTACAGTCAGATCCGAAACCACGCCCACCCATAGACATTATCGTAGGCTTCGCCTCAATCATCAATATCATGAACACGGGTATGTTTACCATCGGCACCGACATCGTGGCAATTGTCGTTCCCATATTCCTTTCATCTTCGCTTGTCATTGTCCGCGTTTTCATTATCAGGGTCGTCGTCATCAACCACGGCGTTGCCATCATTACCATCATCGCGGTACTTATCATATTTATCGCCAGAATCGGCCCAAATATCGCCTTCATGCTTGTCATCAGCCTTATCGTTGTCATCCACATCGTCGTCGACATCACCGTCAGAACCGATCTCATCATACGCATGAGCACAATCATCGTCATCCAGAACATCATCGTTCCCGCCATTCTCAATATTCATACCCTCGGCATCGTCACCTGTGTTGGGCCAGGGTCTCAACAGCCGCCAGAGCAGAGTGGGGACGTAACCCTCGGGTCGAAATCACATACGAAACCGTAACCCGACCGTCGACATTTCATTGCGAGCTGGGATTTCAGAGAACCTGAGCGCGCGCGAGGCGCGCGCGAGGCGCGCGCGATAGTTCTTGGTACATATGTATGCATACATACAGTGCTCCCCTCTCTTATGTGGCTCCCCCTCTCTTATTATGCTCCCCTGTTTTCTATACGTGTAGGTTTGCATATTGCGCCTTATCTACCTTTCTATATCTACATCTGTATTTCCGTCGTCCCTCTTTCTTTACCCTGCTGTCTCGCTCACATTCTCTCTCTCTCTCTCTATATATATAGGTATGCATATCGAATTCCGTTTGCTTGCGGGACTTTAAGGACCACCGTGCATGGTGCGAATCGCCAGTGCTTTAAGTAATGAAGAAAAGGCGCACGCAAAATCATATTTCTCTTTCTTTCTCTCCCTACCCTTGCCATTCATTCCTCTCTCCCCTTCCAAGTTTCTCTCCCTTCCCGAACCCTGTTTTTTTCCCTCATCTCCGCATCTCATCCCTTCGCCTCTCCCTCCTCTTCCTCTGCCTCTTCCCCTTCCTCTTCCCCTTCTGTTTCCTCTCCGCGGCTCACCGCCCTCCTTTTTTTCTTTCCCCCTCCCCTCCCCACCCCTTCCCATCCTCTTACCCTCCACACCCTTCCCAATCCACGTCCTCCCTCGCCTCCCCATCCCGACCCTCCCCCTCATTCGCTGTCTCTGCTGCAGGATGCGCCCCAGCCTGGACGACATCGCGCAGTCTGCCTGGTTCCACTGCTCCCAGCGCGTGCCGCCGCGCGCCGCTCAGCGGGCAGCGGCAGCCACTGACGGACGGCGGGCGGGGGCTGTGGCGAGGGGAGGAGTGTTAACCGACGGGGGATGAGCGCAGAACGTCGGAGGTACGTGCCGACACCCATTCGCAGAGCGCAAGGACTGCGCCTCCCACGAGAAGTGGCGACCTCGAGGGGTGGGGGGGGGAGTTGGGGGGAGGGAGGGGGAGATGACGGAGGAGCCAGGGAAGCGGGAGAGAGTAGGGATGGGGGGGGACGGAGGAGGACGGGGGAGAGGGGGTGGCACGAGGAGGGTGATGAAGGGGCCGCGGAAGAGAAGGAGGAGGGGGATGATGAGGAGGAGGGTATAAGTGAGAGGGATCAGGATCACAACGAGAACATAAACGATATATAGGGATGATGATGATGATGGTGACGATGGTACTTGTGACGAGCCTGATGCTGATGCTGCTGCTGACGATGCTGATGGTGATCATGATGATGGTGGTGATAATGATGATGCTGCTGTCGCTGATGATGATGCTGATGATGATGCTGATGATGATGATGATGATCCAGATGAGGAGGAATATGAAACTGCCGCTGGTGATGATGGATGGATGGTGATGCAGGCTATGGTGAAGGTGACAGTGATGCCGCTGTTGCTGATGCTGATGCTGGTGATGATGATGAGGATGATGATGACGGCGATGTTGCTGATGATGATTATGATTATGCTGTTGGTGATGATGATGATGATGGTGGTGGTGGTGATGGTGATGGTGATGATGATGATGATGATGATGATGATGATGATGATGATGATGATGATGATGATGATGGTGATGATGATGATGATGATGATGATGATGATGATGATGATGATGATGATGATGATGACGGGTGCGATGCTTATGATGATGGCAATGGTGACGATGATGGTGGTAAGGACCGTGATGGTGAGGACTGTGATGCTGATGTATTTGATGGTTATGATGGTGGTGGATATTGCGAATGTGATGGTGATGAGATGGAGAAGGAGGAGGAGGAGGCGGAGGTTGAAGAGGAGGCGGGGAGGCATGGGACGTCCGGGTCGTCCTTTCATTGTAGTTTCGTGCGAAGTTACAACGGGAATTATCTGCTCTGTTGGAAACTCGCTTGTGCTCAAGCACGCGCACATGGAACCTGATACGGGTGCCTGATGTTGGTAGACTAGTTGCCCTGCAAATTGGCACGTTAAGTACACATTGTGCACGTGATTCGTTGCCGATTCATTGAAGTTGCACAACTGAGGACGCATACAGCGAATCATCGCCACCTCCTGCCTTCTGGAGTGCCCATGTGGCCAAACGTTGGGCCCTCTAAGAAGCAGGGGTGATTCTAAGAATCCCTCGGCCTCCCCCCAGAACCCTGATGAATCCCTAGGAACTCCTAGGGCTCCCCAGGGCCCCCCAAGACCCCAGGACCCCCCAGGACCACCTAGGGCCCCTCAGGGCTCTCCAGGACCACCCAGGGCAGTCTGGGGCCGGTTCGGTTGCAACCAGTTCGGCTTGCTCGTTCAAGCCGGTGTCGGCCTGCCTGTTCGGTCCGAAATGGCGGGTCCGGTTCCGACCGACTGGTTCGGTTACCGTTCCGGATCGTCTGATTTGGTTGCAGGAGTTGCCAGTTCATGGCTGCAGGTGCGTCTCAGAGCCACCCTGGTTGGGAGCCAGGTCTTCGAGGCGAGAATTTGTGCATGACCACCGCCTGGAGGCGGTGGCAATGGATGTATTCGGCCCCCCAGGGGCCAAAATATATCCACATCCACCGCCCTTTGGGGCACCAGGACGTCGGTTCCCAGGCGATAAATATGGACAAATCTCGCCTTGCAATGCCGGCTCGTGGCACACCGCGCCCCGCCCGCAAACCAGCGGTGCGCTGCGCGCGGCGCGCGGCGCGGTGGCGCGCCAGTGGCCTCAGCTTCTTGCCAAAGGATATCGCGGCGCAGGCGGAGGCAGGCCGTGCGGAGCAATGGCGGGAGCTTGCTCCGAGCAGTGGCGACGCGTCTTGGCTCGCCAACAAGCCCACCAAAGGACGTCATAATCATCTTCCGTGGCTTGCTCGAAATATCCTCAAAGCATTGCTGGCTGAGACTGTCCTTTTTTATACACCGGGTCAATGTTCTGAGAACATTGCCTTTGCCCTTCGAACAGTCTTTGGCTCTGAGAACCTGTCGTGGCAGGCCTGTCGGAATGCCGGGCCGGCCGGTCCCTGCTCAGTTGCTCACGGGCTTCGCTTCCCCTCGCCCACCGCCGCCAGCTCCGACGGCCGGCCAGGTTCGCGGGGTGCCGACCCTCCCAGGCCGCGCCAGGGCAGGGTCCGGAGCCCGCACCTCCAGGAGGCCCGCAGCAGTCCTAGATCTGAAGGTAGGGAAGGGGTATGGCGTGAAGGGGTGTGGTGCTGGTCTTGCGTACAGGGGAGTCTGGCGATGCTATTTATCGCAGATCGCATCGCCATTTCCACGATTGGCACCATACCCCTTTATGCCACACCCCTTTCCGACCTCCTACAGACGAGACGCTGACACAAGTAGGACCAGTTCGGGTTCAGGAGTGGGTCTCATTTCCGGCCTGTCCCTTAGATCTTGGTTTTGGAACCTGTTCATGGCCGAGGCTCGCCGCAGCCAGAGAGCCCCTTCGTTTCTCATTCTGCGTTCATCCTGGTAGCACGACGGCTGTAGATCACCGCAGCGGTTCAGTGCGGGGGTGACCATCGCCCTCGCCCTGCGACCGCTACGCCCTGCATCTTGCAGCCGAACGCCCCGCGCATCCTCTCCTGAGCTTTGTGCCACAGGTCCTCCAATGGCGGCAGCCTGCCGGCAGCACTGCCACAGGCAGTAGCACTGGCAGAGCGAGAAGGGGCATGTGGGAGAGCAGGGGAGCGCGCAGGAGGGTGAGCCAGAGCCGGCGGTGGATGGAGGGGCCGAGGAGCAGGATGAGGGAGAGGAGGAGGAGGAGGAGGAGGAGGAGGAGGAGGAGGAGGAGGAGGAGGAGGAGGAGGAGGAGGGGGAGGAGGGGGCGGGGCAGGAATCATTCTGGGGAGGGCCCAGGTAAGCGGAAGAGAGGGGGAGGAGAATCACCACGGGGAGGAAGAGGAGGATGAGGATGATGGTGGTGTTAGTGGTGGTCTTGATGGTGATGGCATGATGATGGTGATGCTCATGCTGATGCTGATGATGATTATGATGCCGATGCTGATGCTGCTGATGATTATGAGGATGATGATGTTGATGCTGATGATGGTTATGATGCTGCTGATGATGATGCTGATGATGATGATGATGATGGTGGTGGTGATGATGATGCTGCTGATGCTGGTGATGATCATGATGATGATGACGATGATGATGATGATGATGATGATGATGATGATGATGATGATGATGGTGCGACTGATGATGCTGCTGCTGCTGCTGATGATGATGATGATGATGATGATGCTGATGCTGATGCTGATGCTGATGCTGATGCTGATGCTGATGCTGATGCTGATGCTGATGATGAGCATGAGGATGGAGATGAGGAGGATGAGAGGATGGGGAAGAGGGGGAGCCCAGGTCGATGCCCGTGAGCGTGTCTAGCTTCGCGGTGTCCCCGCGCATCGTGGGCGGCTCCTCGGCGCGCGGGGTGGCGGGGGAGGCCAGACGTCAGCGGACCAGCGTGCGGGGGGCAGCCCCCCCCACCACGGCCAGCACGTGGGGCCGAGCGCTACCCTGGCCCCGAGGGGTGCCGTTGTCCGGGTCACCCTTGGGGGCGCGAAGGTAATCGCGCTTCGCGCGTCGCGGTCTGGGCCTGTGGAGCTGCCCTTCTTCAAGGTGGCCCCGCGAGGACGCGAAGACAACCACGCGTCGCGCATCGCATGGCGCGACACGTCAAGTTAGGTGCCGTAAGAGGCTCTTACAGCAGGGCTCTCCGTCGTTCTGGGTATGGGGTTTTGGACTACTGGGGAAATCCAGGAGGACTCGCTCGGCACGCAGAATTGATATTGTCTAGTCCACATGTCCACCCCGCAGGGCTGTCCCCAAGCAGCGCTCCCTGCTCGGAAACGTTGTTCCGCGTTCGGGGGACTTTTCGGTTCGGTGAACGAGTTCGGTCACGGACGCGTGTTTGGCTGAACGTTTTTCATCGGGGTCGGATCAGAAGAATGCTTGATGGTTGTTGTTCGTTGTTTTGCTCGGCTGGGCTTCAACCAGCTCCAGATTGGCTCCAAGGAGCTTCAAACCGGCTCGGCCCTCAAGAGTTTCTGAAAGCGTTCCAATGAACCTCCGAAATAGTTTTAGACAGGCTTCGGAAGCGGCTCCAAAAGACTTCCCTACGCGTTCCGAAGCGGCTGCGAAACGGTTCCGAGGAGGCTTCAGAAACGTTTCCAGAACTGCGCCAGAACGGCTTCGAAGTGCCTTATAATGATTCCGACACGCCTCTTACAGGGCATGCCAAGCAGGTCCAACACAATTCCGAGAGGGCCTGCAAATGGCTCCAGAACGGTTCCGAAACAATTTCAGAGACGGCTGCGAAAGAGTTCACGAAAGGGTTCCACAGCGGCTCCGAAACAGTTTCCTATAGTTTGAAGAGTCTCGAAGCGGTTTCCGAATCTGATGTTCCGAGTGTGAGGGTTCCCGAGAGTTCTTGGTGTTCAAAACGTTTTCTGAATTGCTGAACGGTTGATTTTGAAGATCCCCGACAGTTCTGGCTGCCCAACGCTGACAACGGTTTCCAGATGACTGAATGGTTGATGTTGATAATTAGTCCCTGGGAGTTCCGGGGGCTTAAAAACGTGTTCAATGGATGCGAATCATTGATTTGAGGTTCCTCGGGAGGTCTGGGTGCTTCAAAAACGCTGTGCAGGACCCAGGAGCCTGGGGTGCTTAAAAAAACGTTGTCCAGGTGACCGACAAGTTAATTTTGATGTTTCCCAGGAGTAGCTCTGGGTGCTCAAAAGAGCATTGCATACGGCCGAAAGGTTGAATTTGAGCTAGAGTACGGATAGGTTGATGTTGATGGTCCCCGGGGATTTTAAGCTTATTCCAGGGGCGTGGAGTTGATTTCGAGGTTCCAGGGTTGCTCAGGGTGTTCAAAGAACATTGTCCAGGGGACCGAACAGTTCGAGTAGGGGATCGACTACATCATTGGTTTACCCCACAATCGATGTTCTCGTCGAGTGTACGAGCAAGTGCGAGCATTTACGCATTTACCGTAGATTTTACGATCACATCAATTTTTGGGCAAATCTATTCTATAGTCGATCCCCTACTGGAGTAGTTCATTCTGAGGGTTCCCGGGAGCTCTGGGTGCTCAACACCGTTTCCTGCCAAAGGTTTGATTTTGAGGGTCCCCGGGAGCTCTGGCTGCTCAACCACGGCTTCAAGAGAACCGCAAGGCTGGTGCTGATGGTCTCCGCGGCCTCTTGGTGTTCAAAAGCGTTTTCCAGACGGTTTGAATATTGATTTTGATGGTCCCTGGGAGGTCTGGTGCTCAGAAAACGTTGTCGAGGGGACTGAACGGTTGATTCTGAAGGTTCCCGGGAGCTCTGTGTTCAACAGCCAGCAGCGTTTTCCAGACAGCCAAGAGGTTGATTTTAAGGGTCCCAGGGGGCCCTGGGTGCTCAAAAAGCGTTCTCAACTGGACCAGACATGTGATTTTAAGGACTCCCAGGTGCTGCTTTGATTGCTCAAATACGTTTTCCAGACGGCCGAACGGTTGATTTTGAGGATCCCAGGAAACTCTGGCTGTTCAACGGTGTCCAGATAACCGGAAGGTTGATGTTCATTGAAACGTGTTCCAGCGAAGCGAAAAGTTGATCTTGAGGTTCCCCTGGAGCACTGGGGTGAAAATAACGCTGCCAGGGGCACCGAAAAGTTGATTCTGAAGGTTCCTGGGAGTTTCCCAGACGGCCGCAAGGTGGATTTCGAGAGTCCCAGGAAGCTCCGGCTGCTCAACAACGGTTTCCAGAGCACGGAAAGGTTGATGTTGTTGGCTCCAGGCAGCTCGGTGTGTTGAAAAACGGTTTCAGGGAAATGAGGAGCTGATTTTAAGTGTCCCCGGGATTTCGAGGTGCTCAAAAAGGGGTGTCTGGGGGACCTGGAGCTCTGGGCGCTCAACAAGGAGTTTTTCAGACGGCCCAGCGGTTGCTGACGACGGTCCCTGGGAGGCCCGGTTGCTCAACAACGGTTTCTCGATGACCAGACGGTTGCTGCTGACGGTCTCAACGTTTGATGTTGATGGTGTCTTAGGTTCCAGAGAGGCGAAACTTGATTATGAGGATCCCCGGGAGCTCAGTGCGCTCAAAAAACATTGTCCAGGATACCGAAAAGTTGATTCTCCAGGTTCCCGCGGGCTCTGGGTGCCCCAAAAATGTTTCCCAGGGGACCGACAAACATAATGTTGAGTGTTTCGCGCGTGTCAGGGAGGCCTGTACGTATCAAGAGAGGGATGGAGGAGCAGGGAGGGAAAGAGCAAGAGGAGGGAAGCGAAGCGAAGCGAGCAGATCCGCGGGAGCGGGGCCCTTGAGGGTCAGCGCGGGGGGTTCAGGGCCCTCACACCGAGGTGTCGGCGCTCACTTGGCTCTAAGATGTTCGCAAAGAAGCCGTCGCGCGTGTGATGAACTGTCTGTCCAACCTGCGCCAAGCAGAAGGAGGGAGGTGAAGAGAAGGAGGGTGTGCGCGCGTGCCCGGAAAGGCTCTTACCGCGTGGACTCCGTGAGTCAGAGGAGAAACAGAGACCTTTGCCATCGAGAACCCATCGGGAGGGGGGAGACCCGCCCCTGAGCGGCGGCACGACGGAACATCGTCGGGTCTTGGGTGACGCTTGGGCGTGCCACCGCTCGAGTAGGAGATCGACTACAGAACATGATTTGCATCAAAATTGGTGGTGCCTGTGGAGTCTACAGAACACGCGTAGAATGTTTCGTAGATCTACGGAACATTCTCCGTACTCGTCGTCGCGCCGCGACGCTTACTACGAAACTCTGAGTATTTTGGCAGACTCGACGAACCAGTCAATTCTTGGGTGCATCGATTCTGCGGTCGACCTCCTCGAGCCGCCCTGGGGTCGGCACCCTCCTGACGGACTCTCGGTGGCGGTGGTCCTCCGACGCCCACCGGGCGAGGAGGGGGCCATCGGGGGCAAAGATAGGGGGGGATAGGCACAGGGGGGGATGCATCGACCGCCAATCGCCCATGGATCGCCGATGGCGGCCCGATAGCCCCAACCTGCACAGGAAGGTGCGGATTCACTATCGGGGGCCTACCGCCGATCTATCAGCGATGTATCGCCGATTCCAGGTCGGTGCACCCCCTATGCCAGTCCCCCCCAGGCGCCCGGATGGGGGGGGACTCAGAGGAGGAAAAGGTACCCATACCTCTGCCCTTCCCTGGTGTCCCTCTTTTTCGGCCTCCTCGGAGGCTCTCGGCGCAACCGCTGGCTTCGCTCCGAAATCCTGGTCGGAACGCACCCTGGGGAGAGGTCCGGGGATCAGCGGTATCGTCACCTTTTGGTTTCCCCAATAGCCCGTTGCATCGCCAAGCGCCCCCCCCGCGATCCGCGCGAGGTTCTCAACCAACACCGGGAAACTCTGGGAGGGCTTGGCGTCGCCCTCCCTCCATCCCTCTCCCCCTCCTCCTCCCTGGTCCTCCTCCCCAGCCTTCTCGCAAACGGTTGTTAATTATGAGATACCTAGAACGGCGACGACGACGGCGGTACGCCGCCGCCGGCCTCCTCGACGTGGCCCCCGCACCTCGGGGCGGAGGGCAGGATCGGCCAGCACCGAGTCGGGGAATCCGCCGACCCCTCGGCGTGTGGAGGACGCCGTTGTCGTCGTCGTCGTCGTCGTCGTCGTCGTCGTCGTCGTCGTCGTCGTCGTCGTCGTTGTTGTGTGCGGGGGCGACGGAACGAGCGTCTTCCCCAGGGAGTGGGCGGGGGGTCGCCTGTGGCGACGGCGGGGGCCGGCAGGCGCGCAGCGAGACGCCGGAGCGCGGGGTGCTTCTTCGCCGCGCCTTACAGCGCCCCCCCCCGCGCTGTCTCTCGCGGTCTCGGGCTACCTTTAAGTCGGGCCTGTCCCTCCTGAGGAATATTTTTGAAAATCGTAAAATAAGCAGGGGACGTTTTTCTGGCATTTTTTGTTGGATATTTTCTGACCATATTTTTTCGGCCAAAGTCCGCCTGTAGCGGGACAGGTCCGACCTAAGGCTACTTTGGCTTGCTCTTGCTGCGCTCGCTCTCTGAGCATCCCTTGCGTCAATGCGTCCATGCATCCATGCCACAATCCTCTCCTCCCCCCTCCTCTTCCTCCTGGTCCTCATCATCATCACCACCGCCATCGTCATCACCACCAACACCAGCATCATCGTCATCATCATCATCATCAGCATCATCATCATCATCATCATCATCCTCATCATCATCATCATCATCATCATCATCATCATCATCATCATCATCATCATCATCATCATCATCATCAGCATCATCATCATCATCATCATCATCATCAACATCATCATCAACAACATCATCATCATCATCATCATCATCACCATTATTATCATCATGATAACAACTTTAGTGTGGAGTGTGCTGGGACATTGGCTTCAGTGGCCGCACTTCTGTAAATGTTTTTGCTCAAGCTTTTGAGGGGCAGGCGAGCCGCCGCCACGCGTTTCCCTTTCGGATCTCTCGCGCGGCGCCTCACTGGCCCTGGTGGCGTGGTCGGCTACGCCCTCATCGTCTCCCGTTGGCCCTGCCTGTTCTCGCTGAAGCTCCCCGACGTACAGCGTCCCCTGCCCGAACCTCGATTGGCCCCACGCGCTGCAGGTCTTGACGGGCTGGTGCAGTCACACCGTGCTCTTCTGCCTCGGGCCGCTGGTGGGCGTCTTCGGGGTGCCCGCGGTCCGGAGCTGGAGTTCGCAGGCGGCGGGTGTGAGAGTCTCAGTCCCTTCGGAGGCGGTCAGTGCGGACGCGGAGGGCTTGGCGCCGTCGGTCGAGCAACTTCACCTGTTGGCTTCGCAGCAGGTGGGGGCCGCCATTCAGGATGCCACAACCAGGTGGTGCGCACGCCTTTCGACATCGTGTGGGAGGACCCGCCGTATATCATGAACAGCTTACGTCGCTGGACTGCCGTGTGCACCCGATGGTGCGCGACTCAGCTGGGCGGCGGGTGCTGGATTTCGCCACGGCGGCCCTGCTAACCCCCTTCTCGCCCCAGGCGGACGGGCCGATCAAATGTCCGCGGACGACACAGGGGGGCCTCGACCACATGAGGCGCGACGCGGGCGGCCCGCGGGTGTGGCACTCAATGTGGAAGGTGGAGGCGAGGCTGCGCGCCGTGCTCGATTTGCCAGCAGCATGAGATGAATCGCATGCTGCCCGAGCTTGGCAGTTGCTACGACCAGGTGACCTGCGCGGAGCTGGCGTCGCGCGAAGTGATCTGCCGCCAGATCCAGCTCATCAAGGAGCAGCGCTACGAGGACACCGTCACCGCGCAGGAGGCCGCGGAGGACACGAAGGCGGGGACGGACAAGAGCGCCAAAGCTGCCAGCGAGAGCTTGCTGGCGGTCGAGGCGGACCACTACATGGGGGTGTCGGCGAGCAAGGGCGACCTGTGCGTCGCGGCAGCCCTCGCGGACTTCATCTTCGACCAGTTGAAGGCGGAGGCCGCCATTGCCAAGCAGAGGCGCACAGCCCGCGGGGAGCGGGCGGCGTGCGCATAGCCTTTCGAGAGCTTCTCCCAGGTGGGTGCAGGCGCTTCGGTGCCACCTGGGCGAGTCCTGCTTTTTCGTGGGGGCCGCGCCTCCACCAGTGTTGTCACGATGGAACCTGGAGTTCGCCAGCGTGATGTGTTCCCCTTACCTGCTCTGGCGGCGGGCGCTCGCGCGGAAGCTTGCCGCGGCCGTCGGGGGCGCCAGCGCGCCCGGCGCGGCGCTGCTTGGCGGAGATGGGCTAGCGACGGCATCGCAGCCCTGAACCAGCTGAGCGGCCACTTCTCTCCTGCGTCTGCCCCGCCTGGGTTAACAGCCTCGGCGGCGCAGGGGAGTGCGATGGTTCACATCTTTCGGGCCTATCATTCGGTGAAGCAGCCTTGACAAAGTCGCTCGCGTCGTCGCCTGGGTGCTCCTCTGATTCCCAGCGCGTCAAGCCCTACAACAAGGACCTGGTGTCCTGGCCTGATCTTTCGACGGCTCCAGTTGATGTCGCTGATCCCGTCGGGGAGGCCGGGCGCGAATGTTTGTCGGGATGGAGACGGACCATGCTCAAGGGTGAGTCGTCTGCTTCAGATCTGAGTGCGGCTCCGGTGCCGCAGCGTCCTTACGTCGACCCGATTTTGGGCAACAGCCCCAGGGCCTACGCCGGCTTCGTGGGGAAGTTGCTGCAGGGTGGTATGATCTCTTTCCGTGTGGCGCGGGCTGGTGATCCTTATAGCTTGGGCTTTTTCTTCGTCGAAGGGTTGGCAAGGGCACGCTTCGCCTCGTCTTCGACGCGAGGGTAGCGAACGAGGGTTTCGCGGCCCCGCCCAAGACCACGCTCCCCACGGCGGCGGCGCGGGCCGCCCTGGAGTCGGACCACTCCGTGGCGCTGGCCCAGGGCGACATCCAGTGCGCATTTTTTCCACATGCTCGTGCCGAAGGGCATGGAGGAGCTGTTTACGTTGCCCACCATCTCCAATCGCTTGCCCAATGTCGAGCAGCTCGACGGCCTCCCCATCCCTTCGGGCTGTTTCCTCCAGCCGATGGTGCGCGCCCTGCCGATGGGCTGGAGCTGGTCGCTGCTGTTCTGCCAGAGCATCATGGGGAGGGCCCTCGTCCATGGCGGGTTCGGGGACGGTGACCCCATCGAGGATGGCCGCCCGAGCCCCGTCCTCTCTGCCAAGGGCAGCGTGGCAGCCGCGGGCTACGTCGACAACTTCGCCATCGTGGGGGGCGACCCCATTGCCGTCACCTCCAAGAGGGATGAGGTGGCTCGCACGCTGGAGGCTCGGGGGCTACCTGTGCACTCGCTCGACGCCGCCTCGGCCGCATCCGCCCTCGCGGGACTCGAGATCAATGGCGACCTTGGGGCCGCGAGGGTGAAGCCTGCGAGAGTCATGCGCCTTCGGCAGGCGCTGCTAGCGGTCTTGCGGCGAGGCGCCGTTTCGTCTCGCATGCCCGAAGTCCTTCTGGGCCACATCACGTGGGCGATGATTTGTAAAAGAGAGACCCTCTGCATCCTGTCGTCTGTCTACGCCTTTAAGTCCCAGAAAGACTCTGGAGTCAGGCCCCTGTGGGCCTCCGTCAAGTTCGAGCTTTGGTGTGTGGCTAGTACGTTACCTTTATGGACTTCGCACATGAACATGCCCTGGGGCCCCCGCGTCTCGGCCTCGGACGCTTCTCCTATCGGCGTGGGCGTGTGTACTCGCAGAGAGGTCGGGCCTCGGGTGGCCGAACTTGGGAGGCAGGCGGAGAGATGGAGATATCGATGTACTTCGGCGGTTTCGGCACGTTCGAACGCGCTGGGTCTCGGGGGGGGGGGGGGGGGGGGGGGGGGGCGACGACTTCGACGTCATCGAGGGGTTCTTGGACGCGAACCCTGAGGGCTTCTGCAAGGGCTTCCACGAGATCCCCGAGGAGCTCATGCAGGTCTCGTCGTGGGTCACCGTGATCTCCAGGAGGCATTGGAACCCGTCCCAGAACACTCTAGATCACGAGGGCGACTCGTTGCGCGACGCAGTTCGGCACGCCACCCGCAACATGTCGCTTCGTCGCCGTCGCCTTCTGTTTCTCGTCGATACTTTACATTTGGCTCTGGCGGCTGGCAAGGATCGAGGCCGCACGCCTGCCCTTCGGCGGCCCTTGCGGGGGATCGCCGCGCTCTCGCTGGCCACCGACCTTCGGTGCTATGCGCGGTGGGTTCCTTCTGAGCTGAACGTGGCGGACGGGCCGTCTCGCCATGGGTTCTTCCACGGCAAAAGCTTCGAGGAGGCGCGCCTCTCTTCGGCAGGTCGCTCCCTCCCTGAGGCAGACTGGCGCTCCGATCGTAGCGGCTCAGGTGGCGGTTCGCCCTCGGGCCGAGGAGTTGTTCGGGGAGGCCCTCCGCTTCCTCGAGAACTCAGCTGCGTCGGACCCTACTCGGGCTCGGCACCGCTGCCGCGTCCTGCGCGTCCTGGACTGGTTGGGCGGGCACGTGCTGAACTTCACCGCCGCCGGCCAGCTGGGCAGCATCCGCGTGCGCTTCCTGGCGGGCTTGTCCCTGGACGGACTCGTCGCAGCGGCGGGGGTGGATGACGGTCGCGGCGCTGCGCCACTTCCTGCCGCTCACCCCCGTCGGGGAGCGGCCGCTCCCGCGGTCGGCGCTAACCCTCGATGGGTGGCGCCGCCTGGTGCCGCCGCAGGTGCGCCTGCCTCTTCCTCGCTCGGTCGCGGTGGCAGTCGCAGGCTGGCTCATTTGGATGAATCTGCCCAGCATGGCGGTCTTCGTGGCGCTGGCCTGCCACGCGTGCCTCAGGCCGTCGGAGGCCCACAGGCTGCGCGCGGGCTCGCTGGCGCCGCCGATCCCAGGGTCGGGCGTCCACACGTGGGGCATCATCGTGAGCGTTGCGAAGTCGGGCCGCCCTGGCAAGACGCGGGCGATGGGCGAGTCGGTGCTGGACGACGCCCCCGAGCTCTGGCCCGTGCTGCACGCGCTGACGCTCAACGCGCCCGCGGACGCCAGCCTCTGGAACTTCAGGCCCGCCGACGTGCGCGCGATGTTCCGCCAGGCCTTGCGCGAGCTGGGGCTGCAGCAGGGGTCTCCGTCTTCGAACGCCCTTCGTCATGGGGGGGGGGGGGGGGGGGGGGGGGGGGGGGGGGGCATCGCGCGACTGGCTCTCGGGTGCTCGCGCGATAGCGGAGGTCAAGGAGAGGGGGGGATGTACATCAGACACATCGTTGATGAGGTGCGGCAAGAGGGCTGGCACGCAGCAGCTGATCAGGGACCCCCCGCCTCAGATCGCCGATTTCGGCGAGCAG